AGTTTATTTTCTGTGCCAGGAAAGATAATGGAGCAAGTAATTAAGGAATTCATCAGCAAACACCTAGAAGATAATAAGGTGATAGGTAACAGCCAGTATGGATTTGTAAAGAACAAATGTCAAACCTATCCGATAGCTTTCTTTGATAGGATAATGAGTCTTGTGATATACATAGACTTTAGTAAGGCATTTGATACAGTCTTGCATGATCTTCTTATCAATAAACTAGGCAAATACAACTTAGATGGGGCTAATATAAGGTGGGTGCATAATTGGCTGGATAACCATTCTCAGAGAGTAGTTATTAACAGTTCACAATCTTGCTGGAAGGGTATAACAAGTGGGGTTCCGTAGGGGGTCTGTTTTGTGACTGGTTCTGTTCAATATCTTCAACGATTTAGATATTAACATAGAGAGTACACTTATTAAGTTGGCAGGTGTTACGAAGCTGGGAGGGGTTGCAACTGCTTTGAAGGATAGTCATAATTCAAAATGATCTGGACAAATTAGAGAAATGGTCTGAGGTAAACAGGATGAAGTTTAATAAGGAAAAATGCAAAGTACTCCACTTAGGAAAGAACAATCAGTTTCACACGTACAGAATGGGAAGCAACTGTCTAAGGAGTACTGCAAAGGGATCAAGAAGTCACAGTGGACCACAAGCTAAAGATGAGCGAACAGAGTGACACTGTTGCAAAAAAAGCAAACATGATTCTGGGATGCTGTTATAAGTTCCCCCATGGGGTTCAAGTCTCCCCACTCCCCAAAGTCACCACTGTTTCTCTGCATTGCTGATTGCGGCTCGAATTTTACTGATTCCCTATCCCTGTTGGTATGGCCGGACGGCCGCACTGCCCGGGGACCACGCCCCTAGCGTCGCGGAAGGGGGCTTTGGCCCTCCCTCTCTCCAAGCCCCGGCCCAGGGCCCTAAGGTGGGGACCTTGGTCCCTGCTCAATGAACCACTCACAGGGTTCATGGCCCTGCCCTGGGCCACTTCTTCCTTGTCTCCATTCTTAATTTTGGCCCGCCGGGTCGGGGGTAGGACTCACCACTGCCATATCCCATCCCGTGTCCTTTTGCGAAGTGCTCTGTGCGCTGGTCTCTGCTCCTTCTTCGCCACCGCTTCCTCTAACCCTCTTCTTCTCTTCGCCTTCCTTCCTCCTCTCCCCGGCTTCCCCACGCCCTTTTAAATTCCCAGCCATGGTGTCTGGGGACGATCCTCCTCTGACATCCTCACCCCTGCCCTCCAGCATCCTCTGCGTGATGTCACGGGCAACGTCATCCGCGGCACCTGTGGTGGCGGACGAGCCACACTCCCCGCTTTGCCGCCCACACTCCCCTCGGTTATTCCCTGGCTGGGGCTTTCCAGCAGGTCTCTGTTCCCGCTCGGCCCCCCTCGGGGCTCTCCGCTCAGGGTTCGGGGCGGCACTTAGTGCAGGGCGGAGGCTCCCCATCACAGATGCATTAACAGGAGTGTTGTGAGCAAGACATGAGAAGTCATTCTTCTGCTCTACTCTGCGCTGATTAGGCCTCAGTTGGAGTCTTGTGTCTAATTCTGGGCACCACATTTCAGGAAAGATGTGGAGAAGTTGAAGGTCCAGAGAAGAGCAACAAGAATGATTAAAGGGCTAGAGAACATGACCTCTGAAGTAAGACTGAAAGAATTGGGCTTGTTTAGTTTGGAAAAGAGAAGAATGAGAGGGGACATGATAGCTGTCTTCAGGTATCTAAAAGGATGTCATGAGGAGGGAGACAAATTGTTCTCCTTGGCCTCTGAGGATAGGACAAGAAGCAATGGGCTTAAACTGCAGCAAGGGAGGTTTAGGTTGGATATAAAGAAAAACTTCCTAACTGTGAGGGTGGTTAAATACTGGAATAAATTGCCTAGGGAAGTTGTAGAATCTCCATCTCTGGAGATATTTAAGAGCCATTTAGATAAATATCTAACCAGGATGGTCTAGATGGTACTGGGTCCTGCACCTCTCAAGGTCCCTTCCAGTTGTAGTGCTCTATGGTTCTATATACAAAAAAGTAGAGAAAATATATTTCTCTGAATACTTTGAATATCTTTGTTAGAAGACATAAAATTAAGTGACTACCATAATACATCACTCTTTTTAGTTAAATAAATTGTTTTAAAGTAAATAATTTAAAATAACAGTTTTAAGAACGAGATCCAAAGTCCAGTGAAGTGAAGGGAAAGATTCTTATTAATTTCAAGCAGTTTCGGAACGGGTCTTAAATGTCCTTTGTTTTCTTGTCTGTAAGGATGTTAAAATGCGATTATTTGACTAATCATGTAGTTGATCCAATTTGTATAGACTATATGATTGGTCAGTTAGCATCTCTGCAGAGCTGCACTGGGGGGTAGCTCCACAAGAGCAGAGACTGAGCAGTCCTGGTTCGCACTGGGTCCAGAGCCACCAATACTGCGGTTCTGCATTTTAAATGCGGCTCTTACAACATTTAAAATGCAGAGGCACAGCAATCAGTGTTGCACTGGGACCAAGCAGCCTCTGTTCACAACTAGCCCGGTCTGCTGCAAACAGGGGCTGGTGCTAGAGCAGCATTTGTTCGCGGTAGCCAGCCCTGATAGAGGCAGCAGGGTGCAGGGCAGGTGACACCCTGGAGAAGGTGCTAGGGAGAACCGGCTTTTAAGATGTCTCTCCTTAGTACCGTCTCCTGTGCCCCTCACAGCAAATTTCGGGGAAGGGAGGGACGACTAGTTGAGTCAACTAAGCATGGATAGTTGACTAGCCGCTTTCACCCCAACTTTTCTGCTTGCTTTTTTATTTAAAACTGCAAGAAATTAATTAAACCCATCCAGCATGTGCTTAAGCTTTACACAAATTCCTTTGATAACCTTTCCATGCAAATAGACAATTCTTCACTTTGAAGAAAAATAAGAACTCTTGTAGTTGAGTTGATCACTTGAAATAATACTATCAAGTACCTGTGCACTCTGGCATAAAGCAAAGAATATTATTTGTCACATTTCTTATACATTATTTTTATTAATAGACATTCAAACTTTGAAGAATGCTTATGAGTGGATCAAATCAGTCAAAGGAAATCTGCACTTGATTCATCAGAGTTTTAGCTCTTTATATATATGTCTTGTGCGCAGAACAAGCATTCCATGTAACTGCTTTTTCTAAGTTGGCTATTTATCTGTAATAAAAAGAACTGTCTAAAATTGTACTGGATTGACTTCATCTCTGATCCAAAATAAAATATAGCCCTGACACACAATGTGAATGGATAGACATATTCAATACACTGTCGTCTAGGTGTCCAATGGAGAGTGTATCTTAGACAAACTCAAAAAGACCAATTAACATAGTTCACTGAAAGGAAAGCTAGATTTAGTTGAGGGGGAAGACCAGCTGGGGTAAGGCCTGGGAGGAGACTATAAACAGAGGACATTGGCTACTGAAAATGTTTCAGTATTTTCATTTTATGTGACTTCATGTTAAATAAATATTTAAAGACATGCACCTTGTTAATTATCCCATGTGTTAGTATTCTTTCTGCCATAACACTTAAAAAATATTTATATTTGTTAATAATTGGGTACCACGGTGACACATCCAAACAAGCGCACGTGACCTCAGTATTGGTGCACAAGACAAAACTCACTCTGCTCATGGATAGAAAAATCTTAGAGGGAACACTGTTTGTGACGTGGGGCAAGGACTCAGGAGAGGGAGCAGAGGATTGAGGGAAGGGAAGAGCTGGGGCTGCCAGGTGCAGGCTCTGGCTGAGAGGTGGTTACCCAGGCATCTCCCAGCCAGCTGCCCCACGGGACTGTTAGGTAGCTCCCTGCCTTCCATGTCCCCGCATGCTGCTCAAAATGGCCTGCTACAGGGGCCATGTGCTCACTGCGTGTCATGTGCTCATGGGGCGCTCCTCTGAATGCTGCCTTTGCCACAAGCATGGCCCAAGTAACACCTATTGGCTAATTTCCGGCCAGTGGGAGTTGCAAGATTGTGCTGGGGACATGGTCAGTGTGTGAAGCTCTCACACAGGGGCTTGCAGCGCTCAGAGAGTACATGGCCCCAGCAGTCAGCCATTTTGAACAGTGTGTTGAAGCATGGTAGGCAGGCTCTCACTGGGCTGCAGGATGGTGGGCGGGTATCATTGTAGGCTATTACAGAAAGTTACTGACTTTTTTTTTTTAAACCATATAACTAGGGGGCGGTGCCCCCTGCTTGCTACGCTTGCCAACCACCCTCTCTCTGGGGGGGGGGAGACAACCCAGTCTCTCTCCCTGGCCACTGGGGTGGGCCAGGCTGAAGCTCCACTA